CACGCACACGCAGACAAGTTTCTACTTACAAACTATGAAAATAAACATAAACATGTATCATTTCAACATGCAATCAATGATATACTTTACATCCTTTTTCTGTATAAATCTTTGAAAGTCAGCACTTACTTTATACAGCGTGTCTGAATTTGGACTAACCATATTTCGAATGATAAACAGCTGCATGAGGCAAGGGCTTCTTCCCACGTGTTCCCACATCCGCAGGCACAGGACTGGGGTGTGGCTGTGCGGGGATGCTGTGAGGACCACTCTCTGCTCATCCCAGCTCTCCCTCTCCAACAGCACTGCTCCAGGCCACGCACGAAACAAGGAGAAAGTGCGGTTTGCTCAACAAAGGCAGCTTCCGAATCAGCCTGTAAGCCTTTCCCCGAGACTTCTGCCTCTCAGCCCCTCAAATACAAATATCTGGCAGCAGGGCCCTTTATCCCCATCCCAGTTCAGCGCTACCACAGTCTACAGCAAACATTTTCTTGGGAGATTTTAACAGAGCAACACTTAATGCTGAAGGAGAGAAAGGCTTTGTCACATCCGAATTTCTGGGAAATGGCACGTATTGCTCATTAAATAAGAGAAGAAAATGAGAGACATTGCCTTCGTACAAAAGATAGAAAGTCCTTCCAGGTCCTACGTACTGTGCAAATAAATGAACATTTTATTAAAATGCAGCGCTGATTTAAATGCTTCTTAGGAAATAGGTACTTAAGAAAAAATAGCTGCCGTCAATCTAGAATACATAACTAGGCTCTGCCTCAGTAGGTGAAGGGGATTTATATTTTCTTGCAGCTGGGAACATTATTTATATTTCCTACCAACATCTCTGGAACTAATGTATAAACGTCTCTCTATACCATGATGTATTCTAATCTACTCCTGCTGTAAATGCTGTTTCTAAGCTGTGGGCGACTTGTGCTCAGAAAAGTTAGCTGTCATTTGAATGAGAAGAGACACTGCATTCAATCACAGCCTGCCCTTTTCTAGTCATTCCAGGTTTCATCACTCAGAGAAATGAGGGGGAAAGGCATGCATTTGTTAACCATTTTAATAACTCTTCCAAAGGACAGGGGGAAGCTGAAGGGGGTTCAAGTGTAAAATCAGAAGCAGCATGGCCCCGCAAATCCTGCAGAGAAAGCAGTGCGGTGTGAATGGCGTGGTGTGGTGTGTGCGAGTGTGCGTGTGTGTGTGTGTGTGTGTGTGTGTGTGTGTGTGAGAGAGAGCATGTGTGCGTGTGAGTGTGCGTGCGTGTGTGTGCGTGCGTGCGTGCGTGCGTGCGCGCGCGCGCGCGCGCGCGCGTGTGTGTGTGTGTGTGTGTGTGTGTGTGTGTGTGTGTGTAGGCATGCACACACATTTTACTTACAGTCACAAATTCATTATTTTATTCCTAATTCTCACCCGAATCCTCTTTCAAATGAAGGACATTTTAAAACAAAATGTTAGGTGACAGTATGTTTAAGTGAAGAAGTCTTCATGGAAATTTCAAAAATATTTTCCATCTAGCCTTTACAAATATAATATTGATATAACAAAAATGACTTGTCTTGGATTTGCTTTAAGATTTTTAGCAAAGAAGAGAAGTAAAAGTTGGGATGTATACTAGGCAAGAGGGACAGAATTTTGTTAGCCAGCAAAGCCAAGTGCTGAGAAATTTATGTCTGAGTTCGCTATGTTTTTCTTTATGAAAGTTTAGAAATCATTTATGGTAAGTTTTATAACATATGGATTTTGTTTTATTTTGTTTTTTTCAAGATAGAGTTTCTCTGTGTAGTCCTGGCTGTTCTGGAACTCATTCTGTAGACCAGGCTGGCCTCAAACTCAATTGATGAGCCTACCTCTGCCTCCAGAGTGCTGGGATTAAAAGCTTTCAAGATCACTGCCTGCATAATACAAGGATATTTTAACAACAACAACAAAAAATTAACTAGTTTCTCAGATTCAGACTTGGCATAAGAGATGTTACTCATATATATTCTTCTAAACTGTTGGATTGTTTAGCAAACATACATATTTTCTCGATAAAAATATATACTACACACGCACACAGGCACGCACACACACACACATACACACATACACACTCATACATACACTGTGCACACACACACACACACACACACACACACACACACACACACTCAACCTTTGGTATTGTGGGAAATTGCTTCCAGGACACCCTGCAGATCCCAAGAGCTGCAGATGCTCAAGTCTCTTCTGGGGAGTGGCATAGTGTTTGCATTTCACATGTGTGCGTTCTCCTGTGTAGCTTTCGGCTTCTCTATTTATAACATTACACAAACAATGTAAATGCTAAGTGGTTGTTATATTGTATTTTTTAGAAGAGACAGCTATATATGCTTAGGACAGATTGAATTATTGTTTTAGATTTATTTTTATTTATATCAGTTTGTTAAAATACAAAATAAATTACAGGTCTGTCTCTGCTCATGGCCTTTCCTTGTTTTCTTTTACTGAAGCTGGGTGTCCCTCTCTACCCCCTCACAATTCTAGTCCAGAGCCCTCCCACAGCAAGTCCCCAGGGCAGGCAGTGGTTTAGTCACTTGAGCCTGGCCTGAGTTGCTGGAGGCCTTGTGAGGATAACATGGGGGCAGAGAAGGGGCTGGGGAGCAGGGCAGCATCTCTGTTACCACGTGTGGGACCTTGAAGGAGCGTTCTGCAGGCTTTTCTGACTACACATATATGTATGCTCACTATGTGTGTGCCTGGTGCCCTTGGAAGCCAGAAGAAGATGTCAGATCCCCTGGACCTGGGTTGATGGATGGTTGTGGGCTCCCATGTGGGTGTGGGGAACCAAATCCAGATTCTCTGGAAGTAAGCAAGGGCTCCTAACCACTGGACCATCTCTCCAGCCCAAGTGATTATTGTACTGATTGTGGAGTATAAGGTTTTCATTATGACAACTACATATATATACATATATATATATGTATATATATATATATATATATATATATCATTTGATAATAGTCACCTCTTCTATTAAACCTTTATCCTGCCTTCTCCTTCCCTCATTCCGTCTCCACATCTCCAGTACTTTCATGTCTGTTTTTTTTTTTTCTGTCTCCCACATATGAGGGGAAAGCATTCAATATTTAGGTTTCGGGTTTTTTGTTTTGTTTTCTTTGAGATATATTCCCAGAAGTGGTACAGCTGGATTATATGAAACTTTTATATTAAATTTTTCAAGGAGCCTCCATACTGATTTCCATAGTGGCTGAACTAATTTACATTTCCACTAGCAGTGAACAGATTGCCTTTTGTTTGCTTGTTTGTTTTGGTTTCTTTTCTTTCTTTTTTTTTTTTTTTTTCCGAGACAGGGTTTCTCTGTGTTTAACAGTCCTGGTTGTCCTGGAACTCACTCTGTAGACCAGGCTGGCCATAAACTCACAGAGATCCACCTGCCTCTTCCTCCCAAGTGCTAGGATTAAAGGCGTGCACACCACCACCTGGCCAAGGATCTATTTATGTAGTTTATGTATATGACTGTTCTACTTGCATGTATGCCTGCATGACAGAAGAAGGCATTATAGATGATTTTTAGCTTCCGTGTGTGTAGCAAGCTTTCTTGTTGGACTTTCTTTGAATCGCCAGCCCCAAGTAACGACACAGAGGTTTCTTATTAATTATAAAAATATGAAAAAGCTTGGGCTTTTTCTCAACTAGCTCTTCTGACTCAAATTAACCCGCTTCTATTAATCTATGTTCTGCCATGTGGCTTTGACCTTTCCCCAGTGTGGCACATCCGACTTGCTCTGATTGCTGGAGAAATCTGTGCACCTAGATTCCTCCTCTTCCTCTCTCTTCCCAGAAATCCCACCTACTCTCCTGCCTAGCTATTGACCATTCAGCTCTTTATCATACCAATCACAGCAATATATCTTCACACAGTGTACAAATATCCCACAACACATGTGGGTGCTGGGAATTGAACCCAGGTCCCCTGGAAGAGCAGCCAGTGCTCTTAACTGCTGAGCCATTTCTCCAGCCCCCTTGTTTTCTTAATGATTAGCCACTCTGACTGAGGTGAGATAGAATCTCAAAGTAGTTGGTGTGCATTTTAGCTAGGGGTGTTAAATATTGTTCGTGTATTTGCATATAACATGGGCACATGTGCGTATCTTCATTTAAAAAGTGTCTATTCATTTCCATTGCTCATTCATTGATTGAGCTAATTGGTCTGTTGTCCCCTTTTTAGTTCTTTATATATTATGGCCATTACTCCCATTAGATAAATACTTGGGAAAGACTTTTATTTTATGTGCTGTCTCTTCTCTCCATTGATTGTTCTTTTGCTGTAGAGAAGCATTTTAATTTGATATATCTTTGTCAGTTCTTGCTCTTATTTCTTGAACTACTGGAAGCTATTCAGAAAGCTATTGCTTGCCTCTAGATCTGGAACAATTTCCAAAGTTTTGGGTCTTACCCTTGGTCTATTTGAGTTGATTTTTGTACAGGGTGAGAGATAAGGCTCTAGTTTGGATACCTAAACTTTACTACTAACACTTTTGCAGGAGATGGTCTTTTTTCCAGTGCATGGTTTGGTACCTTTGTCGAGAATCAGATGGCTGCAAGCGCATGGGTGTCTATCTAGGTCATATGGGTCTACAGCACTATCACGCTGCTTTTGTTACCTTGGCTGTAGCTGAGTTTGAAGTCAGGTCTTGTCGCCTCCAGCATTCATCAGGGTTGCCTTAGTTGTTTGAGATCTCTTGTGCTTCCACCTAAGTTTTAGGGTTAAATGTCCTCTTTATGTGAAGAATGTCATTGGAATTTTCAAGAGAAATGCATTGACTATATTACTTTTGGTAAGGCAGCCATTTTAACAATATTGACTCTGCCAACCTATGAGCATGGGAGGTCTCTCCATTAGTTCTTGCCCATACTGACCTGCCATCCTGGCAAGGAGCAAGCCATAAAACTAGCCAGGGCATGGGCTGGGAAGATGGCTCAGTGGCTAAGAACACTGGCTGCTCTACCAGAGGTCCTGAGTTCAATTCCTAGCACCCACATGGTGGCTCACAACCATCTATAATGAAATGAGATACCCTCCTTTGGCATAAAATCATACATGCAGATAGAGCCCTCATACACATAAAATAAGTAAATAAATCTTAAAAAAAAAAAAAAACTAACCAGGGCAAATATATACCACACCAAAGGTCCAGTTTAAACCAGCATTTTCAAAACTAACCTTGGAAGTTAGCACATCGTTTACTAAAGTCAAGAGCTGGAGGGCTCCTGAAACGGAAAACAGTGTGTTAAATTAGAATGCAGTGTTTACTAGGAGCACAAAGCATGCCTTTGTGACCAATTCTCTAGCATAACAGCGTGAGAACCCTACAACTGCTTCTCCAATTTTAATGACAAGCATTATCACCACATGCGGCATGAAATTTGACTTCTTAATGCATTGTTTCCTTTATACTACCCATTTTAGGCAATTATATATATTTTTCATGGGAGATAAATGTATGTGTAACTACTATAATAAAAAAGCATTTACTCATGTTGTTAAAAGTAAGTATATAATATACCAGATACCTTTTAAAAACATTCATTTCCAAGAAAGGTGGACAATGAGCTCCAGTGTGTGATAAACAGATAAAGTGGATTTCAGAGAAAGACACAGACATGTGGACAATAAAGTGTACAAAGTTTAAGGATCACTTATGATTGACACTTTCTGACTAGTCGACTATAGGCTATTGGGGGCCATGGCATACACTTGTCAGTCAACAGGAGTCAGATACAAAGGATGAAGTATTATAAATAAGACAGTAGAGACTTTTTCTGTAAGCCCATGCCCTGGCTAGTTTTATGGCTTGCTCCTTGCCAGGATGGCAGGTCAATACGGGCAAGCACTAAAGGAGAGACCTCCCATGCTCATAGGTTGGCAGAGTCAATATTGTTAAAATGGCTGCCTTGCCAATAAGTACCGTGGGGCTGATGTCTTGTGTAGTTCAGTCCAACCCTCTCCTCTGTGGAGAGCTTGAAAACTGACCTCATTCTAACCATCTCATCTTCACCGGCTCAAAGTGGAACAGCGGCCCATTTATCACCAGTGTCGGAACGGGGTTATTCAAACTTGCTGTGTCTCATAATTCCATCACCTCATGTTCTGTTCCTTCCTTCACTTCTTCCCTCTTTCCTTCCTTCCTTTAATGGCCTTGAACTCCTGGTATCCCTGCCTCCACCTCCCAAGTGCTGGGACTATTGTTGAATGCCATACCTGCCTCAGCAGAGTGACTTTTTAAGTAAAAACCAAAACATCTAGAACTCACTGTGTCCTGGAGCCTATTCAATCCCTTCCTTCTCTCAGTTAAAACATATTAAAAAATAAAGAAAGAAATAAAATAAAGAACCAAGTGAGCACTATCCAAACTTATTGGAACTTTTATTTTGACAGAAGCTACTTCCACTAGATGGCATTAAAGAGTCGTATGTTAGGAATCAGGACATGGGAACTTCAGAAAGCTAAAAAATGATCTACCTGAAATTAGCAATGCATCTCCCCGATGGTTTGTCCGGATATGAGCTTCTAGATATGAACCACGAGTCTCAGCCACGTATCCACTTACTGAACACGTTGTGTTTCAGGCGCTGTAGCCGGTGTTTGAAATGCAGCAGACAGCAGGAGCCCATGTGATTCGAAGTTTGCTCAGCAGTCCAGAGGATCTGAGTTCAGTTCCCAGCTCCTACACTGGGTGGCTCACAACCACCTCTAACTCCAGCTCCAGGGGATCTGATGCCTCATGTGCACATACCCACGTACACACATCATTTTAAAATAATAAGAATAAAATCTTAAAGAAAAAAAAGGCAGAGAGGCACAGTGACGGCAGAAGCGGCATCAGGTGAGTGCATAGGGAATGTGATGTAGCGGGTGGTGGAGGCGCACACCTTTAATCCCAGCAGCGAGGCAAGCGATTCCTGAGAGTTCAAGGCCAGCCTGGTCTACATACCAAGTTCCAGGCCAGCCAGGGCTAGATAGGAAAAGAAAAAGAAAGAAAATTGAGGTGCGTAGTGTTCTAGTGTGGTTTTCTGTTGCTGTGATAACACACACACACACACACACACACACACACACACACACACACACACACAACTAGGCAGGAAGGCGTTTACTTGGCTTACATGTCCTGAATACAGTGCATCACTGAGGGAGGACAGGGCAGGAATGGGGGCAGGGGCAGAGGCAGGAGCCTCGGAAGACTGACATTACTGCTTTCTCTCCAGGCTCACATGCACACACCTTTCTTGTACCTCCCAGGACCACCTGCCCAGGGGTAGCACCACCTACAGAGGTCTGGGACCTCCCACATCAACCACTAACCAGTGCTTCACAGACTCATCTGTAGTTTTGTTTTGTTTTTCTCTTGGGGGCCCGTCACCCAGCTCCCAAATAAATACAAATGTATGAATGCCCAGCCTTAGCTTGGCTTGTTTCTAGCCAGCTTTTCTAACTTAAATGATCCTGTTTCTCTTTAACTATGTTTGGCCTCTGGGCTTTTTACCTTTCTTTATTCTATATGTCTTTCTTCCCTTCTTACTCTGTGGCTGGCCCCTGGCATCCTCCTCTCCTTCTTTTCTCACTCCTTCCTCTTCTTTAGATTTCTCCTATTTATTCTCTCTGTATGCCAGCCCTGCCTATTCTTTCTCCTGCCTAACTATTGGCGGTTCAGCTCTGTATTAGCCCAATCAGGTTTTTTAGAAAGGCACAGTAACACAGCTTTACAGAGTTAAACAAATACAACATAAAAGAATGCGGCACAGCTTTGCAACAATAAACAAACATTCAACGGCATAAACGAATGTAATGCATCTTAAAATAATATTCCAGAACACTCACCTACAGACCAGTATGATGGAGGCATGTTCTCAGCCGACGTTCTCTCTTCCCAAATGTCCCAGCTTGTGGCACACTGACAAAAATCTCTCCAGCACATATGGGTAGCACACATAGAGATACACAGCAAAGACTCCATGAATGGAAGACTCCTGGAGAAGCAGATGTCTAAACAGAGGCACAGGCGAGTTGCATTAACCAGAGCAAGTAGACTGGTCCAATCGGTGTAGTGCAGGGGCAGTGCAGAGCCGAAGCTGGCTGCCAAGGTAAGGTCCTTAAAGAAGAAAATCCCTCCTCTGCCCACCCACTGGCTGTCCGTGCCGCCCTAGTGCCCTGGCCTTCTGCTGTGCTTGAACACACCAGCTATGAGCCTCTCGGGAAGCAGACGCCTCCTGGTCTGATTGCTCTCCTTCCAGCCACGTGTCCACGTCACTCCTTCACCACCAAGTCTCTGAATTCAGAAGTCTCGTGGAGGGGTTAGTGGTACCAATAGCAGAACCCCCAGCCCACAGGAAACAAGGAGACTGATGCTTTTTTTTTCTACACATCACCTGAAGTATCACCCCCATAATAATCAAGGGGGAAGGAGGAGGTTTGGGGAGGGAGGCAGATGAGGGCTAAGAACCCAAGTAACATTGAAGAGATGAGCAGAAGAAACTGCACCGTGGGGTAAGAGAGGATGGCCAGGGAGCAAGGGAAGGGGGGGGGGGTTTCAGACAGTTGTGTTTTAATTGACAACAAAGTCAGTTAAGTACGAACTGAAAAGTAGCACACATTGGCATGCTGCAGGGGCCTTTTGCAAATGCCGGACTGCATGGCATTAGGGGTAAAATGAAGGAAAAGAATTCGAGGAGCGAGCAAGCGTAGACTATTTTTATGGGACTTTTCTCATGGTGGCAAGCACACAGGAGGGAAGCATTTGCTTTTGCTCAGGTTGAGATACAGTTCATCGTGGTGGGGAAACATGGCAGCCTTGTGGCTCTTAAGCACTGGTAGGGATATGCGGCTGCTTGCTCACATCTGGGCAAATCAAGAAGCAGAGAGCGTGGTGGAAGGAGGTTTCTATAAAACCTCAATGCGCCCCGCCCCACCATGGTGGGCCATTTCCTCCCGTGAAGATCTACCCATGAAAAGTTGCCAAACCTCCCCGAACTACACCTACCAACTAGGACTGAGTGTTCCGACACGAGCCTATGGGGGACACTTTGTCCAAGCCACTTCTCCAGACTCAGCTAGGAGGAAGAGAAAAGGGAGGAGCACAGACTGAAGGAGAAACTGAAGTGTGAGTGTGAGCCCATAGGAAGTTCCCCAGGAAGGAGGGGATGAAGGGAAGCGGATGGGGCTGGACTTTAGACTAGACGTCTCAGGAGAAATCAGGAGGTAAAAGGATAATGACTGATAGAGACAGATGTAATGGCGTCAGAACCTATGTTTCCCTTTCCATGTGTTCACTCAGTAGCTGTTGGATGAATCAATCAGTGTCGATCAGACCCAACCTTCCTGATCTCCCGATAGGTCATCTTCCCTCTCCCTGGCCTTCCTGATCTCCTGATAGGTCATCTTTCCTCCCTGACTTTCTAACTTCGGTACAATCAACATGGCTTAACATGGTTTTACAACTAACCTGGAAGATCAAATGAGCTATTTTAAAAAAGGAAGTCAAGAATGATTCAGAAACTAATGTGGTGCTGGAAGTGAGAGTGATACAGTCTTGTACCATTTTAAAAACTCTATGCAGTAAGGTGTTGGCAATGGGAATGGAAAGAAACCGATGCCTGCCTGGACCTGGGACATGAGAAAGGAGGCCAAGACAAGAGGACTATAAGATTTCAGGCTGGAAGAGCGAGCTTCCCCTCAGGAGAATGAAATAGGAAGATTCAGAGCACTGAATTTAATGACAAGGGAAGCCCAGAGACATTTAAGATGGGGCTTACGTGATGGGAGCATATTTTGCAGTGGGGTTATAATAGACACTTAAAAAAATTGGGGGAGAGGTCAGTTAGTGCTGAAATGAAAGGTCTAGGACTCGACTCTTTCGGAGGAACTACAGATGGGAAAGATCCAGAACAAAATGGAGGAGTCAGGCTGACAAAGGAGGGTATGGAAGCAGACCAACTACACAGCACGGCAAACGCTGAAATGATTGTGGACTGCGAGAAGTCCGCCAATATCGTCACTCAGGATCTCCATGCCAATAAATTATTGGTGGTGAGAAATACGGCGGTGAGAGCCACCAGAGTTAATTAGGCTGCGGGGAACTGGATCAAAGCAGGATTAATTTCCCCTCAGGACTCAATCACAGTCCTCAGAAGAAAAACCATGTAAAGGACTGACTGGAAAGTGTCAGCGAAATAAGGAGAGGCAGGAGGAGTTGGGATAGAAACAGCAATCAGTGTCATGAGAAAGGAAGAGATGCACAGACTTTTAAGTAAAAGTGAGGACGTTCTCCAGGTAGTCCCATTTTCTCCCTCCGTGGAAGGCAGGTAGGTGCTCCGTGTGTGAGAGATTTGGTTCGTAAGAAGCTGAGAAAGGGAAGGGTAAAGTTGACTGCAGCGGAGTCTCAGACATGGCATCCTAAGACAGTTTCTGTCCTAGATGTTCGCTCAGGCCGACTGTTAGACCTCTTCCAGGCTGCTCTTTCCTACGCTGTTAGAAGATTAAATGAGATGGTGCATATAAATTATAAAGCAGCTCTCCACGGAGACAGGTTAGAATACCCACTAAGGGGAATGTGATGCGGCATGAATAAGAGATGAAACACAGTATAGCTAAGCACCAAGGAGGGCAGAGTTCAGAGCAGGAATATACAGCAAAGCCAAGTCCAGCGGTTTGTAATTTGCTTCAGCATAGTGGAGTGAAGCCAGCGGATTCGGTCAGGGCAGTGCAGAGGACCAAAGGCTGGCAAGTCTAGGTAAGGACCACTTTCATTTCTAAGGCGGCTTACTTTGGGAAGTCACGTGACTTTTATATAAACGTGGCTTTCAAGTAATCCACAGGTATTCTACTTATTATAAAGTTAGAACCAGATCTGAAGACCCTCACAATAAGGACTAAACCAGACTTTTTTTTTTTTTTTTGGTGTGTGTGTGTGTGTGTGTGTGTGTGTTTGACTGTGTTCACACACATGTGCTAGAATCCAGAGCCTCATACATAGTAAGCAAACACTTAGCTACATCTCCAACCCAACATATTTAGAAATAGCCAGATGGTTTTTTTTTTTAATTTCATATTTCCATAGTTTGGGGCCTTTTCTACCTGGAGTCCATACTTCATAAAGCGTAGGCTCCGACTGTATGAATACAGTATGGCATCTCTAATAAAGAGGTCCCTGAAACGGCTGTCCATGGATCGAAATCAAGTAAGGAAGGTTCCAAACGAAGGAAAACAGTGAGACAGGCAGAGGCTTAAGCTACTGAAGAATGAGAACCGTAGTAGCTAAGGAGCCATGTTGTTACCATTTTTGGAATTCAGAGATCAAGGTCTCAGACCCCACGAGTAGGAAGCAGCTTCCACATGAATGAATGAATCTGAAATTCCTGGCCAAATTCTCCAAGGACACAAAGAAGTAAAACTGCTCAGGGTACCAGGCGGGCCCATCTTCCTAATTAGTTTTCGGGCCTACAGAGGACTCGTCCCTCACTGACATCCTCCACTGTCCCATTGTGACCAGTCAGGAGCCCCCCTTGATGGTAAAAACAGCCGCCAAACTTGCTCTGCTTGTCGTCGTCCCACACCTCCTTCCGTTACTGTAGAATTCTGGTTGAGAAGTATCTAACTCTTAGGTCACATTCCCTCCCGCCTTCCCGGAAACTCAGCTGAGCTCCAAGGGGCAGCCTTTCGAAACTTTTCGGTTAGGTTCCTGGAACGAGAGCCGGAGCTACCTTTGCCCTGGAAAATGCCAGAAGCTAGCCAGCTGCGGGGGTTCTGGTACCCGGCACGCCAGACCTGAGGGACTCCAGAACAGAAAAGATGCTCAGAAAACCGAGAAAGAGACCTGGCAAGGCAAACCCTGCTTCCCGGAGGCCTCCGAAGCTAAGGGGAGGCCGCCTACAAGTTCCAGCATGCTTCGGGCTACACCTCGGCCGACTGACAGTACCACGCACCAATGGGAGGACCCTATGTGAGTTTGGGGCGGATCCCTCCTGCGGCACTCAGCCAGGCTTTTTCAAAGGTCCTGAGGCCTCGCTGGTGGCCAGAGCTCATCTTGGTGAAATAGTGACGCCGACGACACTACGCCGCTAAGCTCCCAGACTCCTCTTCCCTCCTTGGTCCCGGTCGTCCCGCCGCGCGAGTGGCCAGGCGAGGATGTGGACCTTGCTGGGCTTATTGGATGACAGTGGTGTCACTCTGGAGGGCGGCGAGGCTCCGGGCGGCGAGGCCCGCCCCTCCCGCACGGTGATTGGACTCTTCGGAGCCTCCCTGGGCTGGGATTGGTGCGAGGCGGGGCGGCGGCTCTAGGGCCTCCTGGGCAGCCTAGGGAGGCGGCAGCCCCTGTCGCCGCACCCTGGGAGAGCCGGAGGGCTCACTACCTCATCGCCCGGGGAGAGGGCGCGCTTGTCGCGTGGTGGGGGTGGGACCAGTGGGGCGGGTGGGGGGTAGCCGTGAAGGACACGAAATGCAGGGGTCAGGGTGGTGGTGGCAGGACTAGCTGGGGCACTAGATCTGGAAGCTCTTGCGAGGAGGACGACTTGGGTGATAGAGGAGGGCGTGGACGTGTCTGGTATGGGATGCAGTGGAAAGGAAGGGCCCAGCCACAAATCCAGAGTAGATCTGTGGATGGTTCCTCAGAGGCACCCTCTTTCTGGTTGCCCTTTTATTTGGCAGCACGAGAGCCCTGGTGGTCTCTGTTCAAATCCTGGGAACTCTGCCTTCGGGTGAATTTAACCTGCATTGTAAGACTACGCAGGGTCTTTTTTGATACTGGGTACAGACGTGGGGAAGATGTCAGAAAACAGGAAGCTGTTTCTGGGTTTCGTGCACAAACTCCCCGATGCGAGCGCATCTGGGAACTCAGGCAAGACTCACTGCCCTTCCTGTCTAGGGCTTTTCAAAGCCCCCAGGCTCTTGCCTTGCTTGCACACGGTGTGCACGACGTGTCTGGAAAAGCTGGAGCCGTTCTCAGTAGTGGACATCCGTGGGGGTGACTCAGACACAAGCTCTGAGGGGTCCATATTCCAGGAACCCAAGTCACGCAGCTTGCAGCCCCAGATTGGCATCCTCTGTCCGGTATGTGATGCTCAGGTGGACCTGCCCTTGGGTGGAGTGAAGGCCTTAACGATAGACCACCTGGCCATGAATGATGTGATGCTGGAGAGTCTGCGTGGGGAAGGTCAGGGCCTGGTGTGTGACCTGTGCAGCGACAGAGAAGTAGAGAAGAGGTGTCAGACCTGCAAAGCCAATCTCTGCCACTTCTGCTGCCAGGCTCATAGGTAAAGAGGGAATACCCCACCTGTTGTGGCTTAAGAGTGAGGTGCAAAGATATGAAGACACGGGTCGGGGATTTAGCTCAGTGGTAGAGCGTTTGCCTAGCAAGTGCAAGGCCCTGGGTTTGGTCCTCAGCTCTGGGGGGGGGGGGGGGGGAACGACACAAATCCCTTGCTGAGCAGGTCGGAAGGAAGGCTTTCTCAGACACACCAAACGGCAAAGAACAACATGCCATGCAATCACAACCTCTGGAATGGAAGTTAATGCAGCCAGCCTGATACCTCTAGTAATAAAAGCATCACAGGTTTCGGTTTACAGAGCACGTCGGTGTTCCTTCCATCGCCAATCGCTATTGAATATGCACCAGGTGCTGGAGAGACCAGGTTACTGCGCTATTAGCATAGCCCCTGCCCTTGATCTCATCTGATCATTGTAACTTCTACAGAAAGATGAGTGCTTATCTCACCCCTGTTTATTGAAATGGAAACTCAGCAATGTTTTGTGATTTGCTAAGTTCCCGTAGCTGGTAAGCGTGTAACTGAGCCGAGTCCTCTCTTCAGACCTGCCCCTTCTGTGCTCTTTTTACTAAATGCGTGCCACCTTCTCGGCATGGGTATCGATTGGCTATGCCGTACCTCATACCTCTGTACCTGGAGAGCAGGCTGGTAGGTTCTAACTGGGTTATTTTGTCTTTTTATCACACTCAATGAAGTTTGTTATCATTTAGTCTTTGTCCCCTTTTCTCCTCCGTCCCACTCTAGTGCATCAGAATAGAAAATGAAACACCAAAACTAAGCAAGGTTTTCAGATTAACCTAGAGCAGTTTTGTTTTCTGGCCTTACCAGCAGCACAGTTGTCTTTGCTCCCTATTTTTAACCTGTGTGGTCACCCCTCTGACTGTCGTGTTGCCAGCTCAACAGCTGACCCATTTCCTCCGCAGCCACACTTGGACCAGAATAGGCATATACACTTCAGGCTGGTGGGACTGTTACCAGGGAACGCTCCAGGCAGTCACTGCATTTTCCTAGGGATTTCCCTGAGTCCCCCAGGAGGCTATAGAAAGGAGGAATTCAAGAGAGCTTTGATTTTAGTGCCCATTGATTTCACTTTCTACTAATGCTCACGCCTCTTGAGGGAAATGCTGGCCTGCCAGTGTACATGATGTAGGCGCTGGCCAAAGGAATTGCTTTACTAAAATGTTACTTCAACGTGAGACAAGAGATCGTGAGAGCCAGCCAGCTGCTTTCGTTGCTTCATAGATCCATCGGGCATGGTTGTATCGCTTGGTACTCGTCTTCCACCATGCACTTGGAAGTGGGCTGTGACCCTTGTTTAAAGTTACCCAATTATCTCTTGAGCGAGAGTTTCTCAGAACGTAGTCTCAGCGTTGCACCTTTTGAAGATGTAGTCCAAGCCAACTCCAAGTATATATGTATTGTGTTCTAAACAACAACGCTCAGATAGGCCTGGGTCTCACTGTGTGGAAAAACCATCAAGCCAGAGGATTCTGTAGTCTGATATTAGAAGTTCTGAGGGGTGTGACTCAAATCCATTGAACTCCGAAAACCTCTTCACCAAACTGTCTCCCTCTAAGTTATCCCCCCACTTCCTGCTTCTTTCCAGGCGGCAGAAGAAGACGATGTATCATACCATGGTGGACCTGAAGGACCTGAAAGGCTACAGTCGGGTTGGAAAGCCCATCCTGTGTCCTGCTCACCCCGCGGAGGAGCTGAGGCTGTTCTGTGAACTGTGTGACCGGCCCGTGTGTCGGGACTGTGTGGTTGGGGAGCACCGAGAGCACCCCTACGACTTCACCAGCAACGTCATCCACAAGCATGGAGACTCCGTGCGGGAGCTCCTCAGAGGCACCCAGCCCCATGTGGAGGCCCTGGAGGAGGCCCTGGCTCAGATCAAAAGTGTGAACAGTGGCCTCCAGGAGCGCGTGGAGGCAGTGGCGGCTGATGTCCGAACATTCTCTGAGGGCTACATCAAAGCGATCGAGGAACATCGGGACAAGCTGCTGAAGCAGCTGGATGACATCCGGGTCCAGAAGGAAAACTCTTTGCAACTGCAGAAGGCACAGCTGGAACAGCTGCTGGCGGATATGCGGACTGGAGTGGAGTTCACCGAGCACCTGCTGACCAGCGGCTCAGACTTGGAAATCCTCATCACCAAGGGAGTAGTGGTCGAGCGGCTCAGGAAGCTGAACAAAGTTGAATACAGCGCCCGCCTGGGAGTGAATGATAAGATCAGCTTCTGTCCTCAGGAGAAGGCAGGCCAGTGCCGAGGCTACGAAGTGTACGGGGCCATTAACACCAAAGAAGTTGATCCATCTAAATGTGTCCTCCAGGGAGAAGGTAGGGACGCATTTCCCACTGGCACTCAGAGGACAGGGCACGGGGATATGATATGTAGAAGTCTGTGAACTGTGTGGCTTCTTGTCTAGGGGTGGAGCTCAATCTGCAGAGTGCTTGCCTAGCTTGCACAAAGCCTGGGTTTGATTGCCAGCACCACGCACAACTGAGCCTGACTACACATGCCTATAATCCCAGCACTCGGCAGGTGGAGGCAGGGGGGTCAGAAGTTTGAGGACTGCTTTGGATGCATGGCAAGTTTGAGGCCTTCCTGGGCTGTAGGAGACCATGTGTCAAAAGGAATAAAGCCGTGAGGCTTGTTCAGCTAGGAGTACTCCACGTCTGACCCCCGACCAAGGGGAGAAGCGTCCTGATTTGAAAGGCAGCGACGCCTTGCCTTGCTCTTTCTTCTCGCTCGGTCTGGGCAGGCCACAGTTGATACTGGGGTGATGCTTGAGCCCGTTCCATTTCAGAAAAGCAGAAGCTCCCCAGAACCTTAAGGGCCATGCTTTGGGGTGACAGAGCCTGGCCACACCCACAGGAGATAACAGCACTGACTAGAACAAGGCACAATCTGCCTGTGCAGAGATATGCATGGCAGCTCCTGGTGCTTGGGCGCTATGTTGAGGGCTACAGAACAAGGAAGACAGAATCACAGCTTCCTTTCTTCCTTACCGTTTTGGGTCACACAAACTTCGTATCGTTGGTATTTCAAAAGATTTGGTAGATTGAGGTCTTTTGTTTGTTTGTTTGAGACAGGGTCTCACTGGATAGCTCTGACTGACCTGGAACTATGTGGAACAGGCTGGTCTCAAACTCACAGAAATCGACCTGCCTCTGAGTGCTGGATTTAAAGGGGTGCATCACCAGGCCCAGCTAGAAATGGTTTCTTTATACCAGTGTTCTGTTCCTAAGGGAAGCATGTTATTTAGACATATTTCACAGATCAATCCTGATGGGAAATTTGTATTCAAGAGTTGCCTTCACTTTGGCACAGAATTTCTAACTCTGGAGGTCACAGATCACTCTGAGAGTGATCTTTCCCGGAAGTACCCATGAAGTAGGACATACAATCTCAGGAGTTTCCTAGACCCTCCACAGGTCTCTCGGCAATGCTTGGCAACTCACCACCCAGGGCTGAGAACCCCGGTTTCCTCTGCATGCTGGCCTCCAGGCTGCAGCCCGTGGGTAGTCCCCCAGCACCTTGGCAATGGCTTCTGAGTTGCAGGCGCTCTTATAACAGGGACACAGCACCCTGGACTGCAGTGTCCTCTTCCTGTTCTAGGAGGATCCGGGGCTTGCAGAAGGTGGTTTTGAGGATATCCGTCTACAGGTCCGAAGGCTTTCTTTGGACACCTAGATTAATCCTAAATATTTGCAGAGTTTCCTTACAGCTGAAATTAAGAGGCAGAATCCCACGTGACCCAAATCAGCTGCTGCTGAACCACTTACCCAGGTCTCCGGGATGGGTACCCGAGCAGTATGGCCTAGAAGGCGAGAGGGAACAGGGTGGTTCAAATAACTAGGAAGCACAAGCTTCGTTTGGTCTGACTGGGGGCCATGGCGTCTCTGTTTGCCTGTGGGGTGAGCCCTGTTTGTCTTTTGCAGATCTCCACAGGGCTCGAGAGAAACAGACAGCCTCTTTCACCCTGCTTTGTAAGGATGCCGCGGGAGAGAGCATGGGCAGGGGAGGAGACAACGTCCAGGTCGCCGTTGTCCCCAAAGATAAGAAAGACAGGTGTGTGTTAAATGTATCATGTGCAGTAGGCAGTGAGGGGAAAACCAGGGCCTTCGAGTTACTGGCGATATAACTGGACTCCTTCATCGTATGGGTCCATAATGCCATGAGAAAATGATTCCACACAATTAATGGAATGTGTCCCCTGAGTAGATTTTATGGCTCAGCTTTAGTTTTCTCTCTCTACAGAGTCTCTGCTGCCCCCAGATTGTCCTCATTTCAAACTTTGGAATGGGCAGACTTTTTTTTTTTTTTTAATGTGTAACAGAATTGCACCCTTTCTTAAACCTAGTCTCTTTTCCTATTAAATTGCTTCAGGATTGTTTATATTTTTCCCTCTGCAACTGGCCTAAGGAGAAGGGGCCACAGGGCAGGGAGTCCCAACAGAGACCTGCATAAAAGAGCACAGGAACGTTCTCCTGGTTCTCAGGATGCTGGACTAAAGTAGAGCTGATGCCATCTACCTTCAGTTTGAGGGATATTTCTAGTTCCTATTAAACATAACTCAGGCCGCAGACGGGGGCAGCTGGAGCAGGCCTGTGAGAGCGAACGGCCTTCTGACCTCCCTCTCATTCAGCCCCGTCAGAACGGTGGTCAAGGACAACAAAGACGGATCATACCATGTTTCCTACACCCCCAAGGAGCCCGGAGTCTACACTGTGTGGGTCTGCATCCGGGAGCAGCACGTGCAGGTGAGGAAGGCCCTGTGCTTGCTCTCAGCTCAGCTCTCTCAGGGTCAGCTGCTTAAGGGAGGGAGTAACTGTCCTTTGCTCTTCCTGGTGGACACAGCCCAGATTCTGCGACTCTCGGTCACGGTCCTGACCCTGTTGCCTCTCTCCCCGACTGGCAGCTACACTGCCTTTTATTCCTCTCCTGGCTAGTTTGTTGGGATTCTTAATCCAGGGAAGATGTCTTGACCACGGGGGAGTCCCTTAGCAGAGAAGTGCACACAGTTTTCAACCTTTCCACACCATGAGTGGGCCGCAGTCGGCAGAGTTACGGCTCTTCCTGCTGTCGGTATTTATCTGGCTAACCATCAGTGCATACATATGTGTATCTGTACCATGGTTCCAATCCCGATAAGTAAGTATAACACTTCTTGGTTTAGGAAGTTCTAAAGTCTCTGCTGACATTGGAGTAGTCATTCCCTCAGGCAGAAGGCAATGTTGATGGCCATAAGCACCATCGTGGTCATATTAATCATGTGGCCTGTGCACTAGGAAGACTCATTCAGTGCCATTACTGATCTCTTCACAGTATGTCAGGAATGGTTGGATGTTTCCATTTTCTTCAAAGCCTACACAGACAGACCAGTCTTGACCCAATAGCCAGTAGCTCTGTAACCAAAATTGGAATTTGACCCTCTTACTTTAACTTCAGGTTGTTTTGTTTCATTTTCTTGTTGTGTGAGATACGGGACAGAGTGTTGTTATCATCTGTAAGCTGGCCTACAAGTCACTATGTAGCCAGGCTGGCCTTGAACTCTTGATCCTCTTGCCCTGACCTCCTTAGTACAGGAATTACAGGATGTGCCAGTCATATTCGCTGCCAGGTTCTTTTTAAGAAAAATCATGTTTTCCAGCTTTCCATTACTGTGACAAAATACCAGAGCTATAAACTTAAAGAAAGAAAGGTTGATTTTGGCTCATAATTTTAGAGGTTCAGTCTCTGGATCTTCCCTTCAAAAGAGGGAGACTTTAACATTGGGAAGTCTGGGGTACCAGGTTCCACTTTGTCCTTATCTGATGTGGCTCTTACCTGGGGACAGGAAAATACAATACTTAATAAACATTTGTGTTAAACCCAGGAGAAAGTAAAATTCAAGTTATCCTTGAGGAAAAAGTGGATAGAGTGACTACCTTGAGACTCATTAGCCACACATATGGAACTTTTCTCACTCCCATGTATCTTTGGTCACCACTAAGAGGATGAGCAGATTTGTGGTGTCCAGGGTCAGAGGTGGGAGGAAAGGTGCTAGCTCTGTGAGAAGACACGTGACCGAGTAGCTGCACGTGTCCTAGCTTGTGGTGCGGCAGCCCAGTCACTTCCCACGACATGCCTCAAGAACTGACATAGAGACTCCTAAAGACTGCGGTCAGTCACACCAAAGCCGAGTCGAGATGACTGTGTGCAGTGGCTTACACTCCCACTTCATTCAAGGGTGGAGGGAGGCCGCGTCCATAAAGGGCGTGAGCCAAACCCGAGCTAATTCAGACGTCACTGAAAATGAAGCTGATCCTGTGGAACTGTCTTCAGTGCCCAGAGGCTTGGGTTTCTCCCAACAGTCAGTGCCCTGGCGAATGCGGTGACCCTGGTGCATGGCAGAAGGGCAACATGCATCCGAGTCCGGTTTCACTGCGCTTCCATTTGCCCCATCCAGCCGAGAAGTCCCTAGCCAGAGATATTTCTGCCCCGCGTCCTTGTCCCTCTTGTGACTTAGCGCCTGCTTATCACGCACTGATGCTCAGCACACCCTGTTGATACCTCTGCTCTTGGCCCGAACCCTTCAGGGCTCACCGTTCACTGTGACCGTGAGGAGAAAGCATCGCCCACATCCAGGTGTGTTTCACTGCTGTACCTTCTGCTCCAGCGGAGGCCAGAAAACTGCCCGCTGTGCCTGCGGAGGCACCATGCCAGGTAAGGACGGTCAGGGTCCTCAAGCCTGCTAGTCCATGCAGCAGCAAGGGTCCTTCCTTCCTCTGCCTCCCAGCTACTAGGTCAGGGTGTGTGGACTGAGGCTGTACTTCTAGAATTCTAGCCTCATGTTTAGAGGCAGGACAAGGAGCTTACACAGTAAGCTTGAATTGAAAGGACAGGCTTCAAGGTTCTGAGTTCTTTCTTGATACAGTTCACTGGTTCACTGGCCTCATGCTTCTCTGTGGAATTCTCAAATTCAGTCTGCACCCATTTTAGCGGTCTCAGCACTGTGAAATGCAGACCCACCCAAAATCATGAAGGAATCTCAAATGGGCAGACCAGGGGAGTGGATGATTGAGCAATGTCTGACTCTCTGGGAAGGCAGGATCTCCAGGCAAGAGATCCCAGTGTTTTTTTTTTTAAGTTATTCTATCTTGGAGCTCGGGGAGATGCAATCATGTGGGTGCTGGCTACTCTTCCAGAAGACCCAAGTTCAATTCCTGCGCCCACATGGGGGTTCACAACTGTTTATTACCCCAATTCAAGGAATTTGGTATCTTCTTCTGGCCTCTGGGTACCAGGCACACACGTGGTACACAGACATTCGTGCAGGCAAAACACTTGTGTACATAATGGGCTTCCGTACCCTCCTGTGCGACCAGCCCGGGATCTTTCTCCTTTCCACTGACCTGCCCTCCTTTTTCATGTCACTCATCACATGTAGGTAAGATCCAAATCAGTTCCTTTAAGTTCAAATGCAAACTAGATCACCTTCAGGTTGCAGGTTGGACAGTCTTGAGAGCCTGGCCTGGCCATGACTGCCTCGGTAGTTCTGGTTACCGGGAATGAAACAGGTAGTTCCTTCGGAGAAAGTTTCACTGCTCAAGTCTGAATGTTCCAGGTTTAATTTGTGTAGCAAGGGCTGGGCTCTCCTTTCAATTGTCCCCTCCCCCCCTTTGTATATGCAGGTGGGTACCTTGGCTGTGGCCATGGACACAAAGGACACCCAGGTCGTCCGCACTGGTCCTGCTGTGGGAAGTTTATTGAGAAGTCTGAGTGCACATACACCGGTGGGCAGAGCGCACCAAGGAGTCTTCTTAGGACCGTGGCCCTCTGATGGCTTCCTGGGTACAAGTTCAGCCAGGTAAACCTGAAGCCGGCATGACCTAAGGTGTGCAGAGGACCCGAGAGCTTTAGTTCCAAAGAGACTGACAGAATTAAAGACAAAGTGCTTTCTCTAACATCAGAGTTCAAGTGCTCTTTTGTGTGTGTGAGCTGCTCACCTATACCATGGCTGAGTGTGGGCCACCACTGCCCCACTCAAGGCGGGCTGACGAGCCCTCCACAGGAGGCTTTTTTCTGTTCCATACAGGCATCAAGGTGTCCATGCCGGGGAACATTATGGCACAGGGAAGATGTTACCTCCTTTCTATTGTTTTACAGCCTCTTCAGTTTATCCCTGAGCTGAAATTTAAGTGCTTCTCAGAGAATGAGACCCCTTTGTCTCATTCACATTTTGTTAGTATACTTGCAGTAGTTTTTCCAGTGCATGGTTTATGACAGTTCTAAAGGGATTTTGTTGTTTAGCTGAGAGCCTGGGTGACGAGTCATCTGTAGGGCACACAAGTAGACGGCTAATAAGGAGGAATGGCGTGGAAAGATCTCCCCCATCTGTTGCAGTTCTTACACCGGATGGATGACGGCGAGGCCTCCATCCTCCCAGCTCTGACTTAGAAGAGGCTTTCCAATGTGTCTCTATACCCGGCAATAGCGGAGAGCACTGACTGCAGGTACCTCCTAGGGGCTACAGGATTCTGGGAAGAGTTGGCACTGCCTCTGCCAGCCTGCCAAGACCTTCCCCAGATCCACTCCGTGTGTTCTGGGATCCTTGGTTTCTTATACAGCAGTAAACTCAGCATATATTAAATAGTTACTGAAACTTACATTATATGATTTCTTAGAAGTGGTGACTCATCGCAGTGGTGACCTGGGTAAAGCAAAGGAAGTGACACACTTAGTTGACAGCTGTCAGGTCGCCACAGAATACCTTTCCTTCTTGGAGTTGCTACATTGTAGCTATAAACAAAAGATACTAAGTTTCTTCCTTTTCTGGAAACACTCCCCTTTAGCCCCTTTCTGGAAGCAAAATCTCATGTTCCAGAAGACAGGGCTGCCCATCACCCCTCAGGTTGTCTGTTGATTGTTCTTTACTCTTTATGTCTCTGGGCCCAGTCAGGTGTCCCGAGCTTATTACCATTGTTGCTCTGAGATCCCTGGGTCTCAGCCAGCAGTGGTTTTGCCCCACAACTACCTCCCCGAGGAATGTCGGCAGAATCTTGGGGATACAGGGCCTAGTAGCATCTAGTGGGGTTACAGGCCAGACTGTTCACAGAGCTTAGGACAGCTTCCGCAGCAAACGGGACAGGTTATGCCTCCCTGAAGTGTCATCTTCGGGTTTGGTGAGGCATCCATCGCTCCTGCATGCTGCTCCACTGTTCCTTCCCAGTCTCCTCTGCTCACCCCTGCATTTTCCTGTTCCCCGGACCCCCAGGAGAGCCGAAGAGCAGTCCTTCCACCTCTTCCTGTTCCCAAGGTCTCATTCTGTCACTTAAACACCATTTGTACAGTGACTCCCACGTCCCCTCCAGGTCCACTCTCTAGGTAATTGTGTCCAATGGCTTACATCGCATCTTCCCTGTGTGTACCTCAAATTTAAATGACTGCCAGTGTCCAGTTCTCACTTCCTCCTGCCTGCCATCACCAACTGCTTCCCCTGTGGTCCTCTCTTGCACATGAGAAGCACAGCTCTGTCCTTAGGTGGGGGAGTCTTGGAAACACGCTGCGTGTCACACACCATCTCCAAACCACAGGGAACTCCCATCAGCCTTACCTTGACTCATCCGACTACCGCTCGCTGCGTCTACTGCTGCTGTCCTGGTCTGAGATGCCAAGACTTCCCACCTCCAAGTTTTGTCATTGTCTTCTCACCGGCCTGCTTCTGCCTTTCCCCCTCCACTATAGCCCCCAGGAGAGAGCGAGCCTCTCAAAATGTCACATCATTCTGTTCAGTACCCTCCCACCTTACTCAGAACAAGTCAGCATACATGCTTCACATTACCATGTATGACCAGCACGGTCTGATCCATGTACTCTTCCTAACCTGCTGTCCTGTCCAGCCATGGTGGCCCTGCCAGTTCCTCAGTCAACAGTCTTGTCTTGTCGCCTTTATAGTCACTGGCCTTCTGTCTGTCATGCCCTTTCTCAGAGATGATTCATGATTCACTCTGGTATCTTCAAGTTTCTGCTCCAGTGTCAACTACCACTCTACTAGTGAGCCCCGTAACTACCCTGTATAAGACAGCAGTATCCTACCCTGGAGAAGGCATCGCCCTGCATGGCTTCATCATCATCTGCCATATATAATATCTTTTATCTGCTGGAGACTTCGAGTTCCCTGAGGGCCGGGACTTGACATTAGTAACTCTGTTATCCCCGTGCAGGGCAGATTTTGGCTTATGTTGGAAACAACAGTATGCTGAATGAATAAAAATCAAGATCTGTGGAATTTTCCACTTGGCTCTACTTAGTATGTTTTCATGACTTCACCAAACACCACTTGGGAAAATGTCTTAACCTTCTATCAAACTTGTTGGATAAGTTATGTGCACCCAAGGGACCAGCCCTGAATCTTCCAATTACCTCAGACATCTCGGGAGTCTTCTGCCCTCAAATCTCTGGAATTACATCATCTTTCCCAGGTGCCTGTGAGTCAGTGCAGCAGGTAGCACCAAAGCTCACAAGTCTCCCTTGGAGAGGCTACAACTGGACAACCTTCTGCAGGTGAAGCTGTATTAAATGTTCTGTGAGGCAGCTAGGGCCTGGCTTACCCAGGTCTTTAAGCAGTATTTCTTGTAACAATGTTAAAAATATCAGAAGCCTCCAGGGGTGACTCTTCCTTGGCTTGTACAATAACAGGGTCTTAGCTCAATGTACTCCAACTGCTCTGGCAGCTGAGCTGACAGATCCATGGGAAGTCAGAGCAGCCTGAAAAACCCCAAACTCCAGGGCAAGGAAAACGGAATTGGAGGCTCTAGGGACTGTCACAGGACACAATGTGTTTCAGAACTTGAGCAATGCACACTGAAACATCCAGATGCAGCTCTATGATGTAAGTGATGTGGCTGGTGTTACAGTCCAGTAAAACACCGTCCTCTGGGATATTGTAACAGGGTAAACATTTTGGCTGTCTTGGAAAATAAACATCCATATATACCTGCCAGCCTACCCATCCTCTAGCCTCCCTGCAATCATTGTTCAACATTACTCCAGAGGATGTGCACCCGTGTCAGGGATGGCCGGATGAAGAGAATGCCAATTAGGAGCAGAACAGAGGAAGAGGCGTCCCACTGTGTCAGCTCCTACATATTGAGGAGGCATTCCTTCACTTCCTCAAAGCTCTCACGGGTCAGTTTCTGAGATGATCAGCCACGGGGTCCTCTACTACAGCTCTTAATGCGCATCTCCCTGCTGGATGCTAAGAAGGGGAGCTTATGCTTGGCTTTGCTTCACCTTACAAATGGAGTACTCAGCAGAGCCTTGCACAAGTAGGTGCTTGGTATATATTTCAATTAGTGAATAAGTAATTGAGCAACAGAAATATTCCCCATCTGTCTTAGTTAGGGTTTCTATTGCTACGAAGAGACACCATGACCACAGCAGCTCTTATAAAGAAAACGTTTAATTGGGGTAGTTTGCTCAGGTTCGGAGGTTCCGTCCAGTATCATCATGGTGGGACATGGTGGCGTGCAGGCAGATGTGGTGCTAGAGAGGCAGCTCAGAGCCCTATATCTTGCAAGCAACAGAAAGTGATCTCCAAGTTACACTGAGCGAAGCTTAAGCCAAGGAGACTTCAAAGCCTGCCCCCACAATGACACACTTCCTTCAACAGGGCCACCTCTCCCAATAGTGCCACTCACAATGAGCTTATGGGAGCCAATTACGTTTGAACTACCACAGCATCCTTTCTTCCTTACACATCTCCACCTATACTCAGATTTAGCTGTGGAACCCAGGCAGAGGACTCAAGACAGTAAGCACATCCCATGGCTGTTCCCTGCTCCCTCCTTAGGCAGGTTTCTGCATTTCCTTTCCATCCCTCGAGCTGTGGACTCCATGTGTACCTGGTTCCTAATTAGCCCTAACTTCCTTCTTCCTGATGAAACACTTTAACATGGATGATATGTCTAAAAACTCAGATTGTCTATTATCTCTCTGCTTGCAGATATGTTTTCTTCGTCTCCTGTAGTTTTCTAGGACTTGGAGCTGTGTGCTGCTTAGTTTGCTAACCTGGTAGAAACAGGGGGCATCTGGGAAAACGCTTCCATCAGACTGGCCTGTGGGGCGTTTCCTTGACTAATAATAGATGCAGGTGGTGCCATCTGAGTTGGTGGTCCTGGGTTCTATAAGAAAGCAGGCTCAGCAAGCCATGGAGAGCAAGCCAGGAAGCAGCATCCCTCCATGGCCTCTGTCCTGCCCTTCCTCAGAGACAGTGACCTGGGAGTTGTAAACTGAAATAAACCCCTGCCCCCAGCTTGGTTTGGGCCATGTTTTACCAAAGAATAGAAACCTCACTAAGACAAGCTGTGTAACAGTATTATAGCATCCCATTCCATAAACTCAGCTCTCCAGAAAGTAAACATCAAGAACCCAGAGACTAGGAGGCCATACAGCACTGGTGGTCCCATGATTTTCCTCCTGGTGTAGGAGACTCTGGCTTCACCTGGAGTCCGGCAAAGAGCCATCTCACTGAGCATGCGACACCCACACGGAAATAACACTGTGCCGAGGGGCCACAAGAAAGCATTAGAGGAGGACAAGGTGGTACATGTCTGTACTCCTAGCACGTGGCCAACTCAGATGAAATGGGCAGGCAAATGGGAAAAAAAACCTGGCAGTGGAGGCCCCTGCACAGGCTTGGTGACATTGGCAGTCACTACACTGTGATGTGCTGCCCACTGACTGGGTGCAACTCAATCTTACCAAGGCCACTCACAGCATTAATGAGGATTTAAGAACACATATGGAGAACTCCATCCTACCAGGTAGTTCTACAATTTCTACACCCACAGACATGACTAGCATCTCATTTTGGTAGGAACACTTACCTACCTCAGACACAATTAGGAAGCTTTGCTGGCTTGCCATCAGAACAGGAAAAATGAAGGGAAGTCTTTAAGATACTAGAAGTCTACCTTAGAGGCATTTGTCAATGGGCCTTGAATATAGCTTAGATTCCCTGTAGTCTCCAAATAAAGACTTCAATTTGAAGGTTAGGACTCTTTCTCAACAGTGCTTGGAGTGGACATTTAGTGTTCACCTCACAGGCGGACATCCCTGATCTGTCCAGCAAAAGGAGTTAACTATGTGTTTGCAGGGCAGTGTGTGATGTATGCTAATTCACACAGCACACAGACGAAAGGCTGCGATGCCCAGCGACCTGGAACGATGGCCAACAGTCAGCTCATGGCTGTCAGACTTGGACAGGCTTGCTCAGGTGTCTCTATCGTTACTTTGATCATGTAATTTCAAAAGCTAATGTTACTGCCTTCATTTTATCAGGAATCTTATTGTAGCCGTTAAGTTCTGAAACCAAGGTCCACCTTACAAATGAGGAGACCAAAACATAGGTTTATAAAAACTCCTATTAACTAGCTATGCCTCCAGCTAAGGTGAGACCAGAATTAGAACTCAGTGGAAGTTCCAGAGTTGATTTCTTCCCACCAGCACACATTATCTTTACTTGCTTTTACAAGGAGTCTTTCCTGAAACAGATCACAGCATATCCTGCCACACTGACTGGTGAATATTGGGTCTGTGCCTTTACCCAACTCAGAGGAAACATTTCTTTCTAGGAAAGTGTTTTGGAAACTACTGTAACTAATTTCCTGACAAGTAAGTCTCACATTGTATACCAGTGAGCACACTGACAACCCCGAATTTCATCGACTTAAAGGATTTCTCGATCATGACACAGTCCAGTGGAGACACAGTCCAATGTAGGCGAGGTGGGTGAAGGAGACACACCTGAGGAAGACCTGGTCCCCAGTCACTCCAAGACCAAGTCTGACAAATGATCTATGGCCCAAATTAAGTTCAGAGCCCCTGCTTTTTCTGCCTCTTCCATGACAATTCTCCTACAAATAGGGACCTCTGAAACAAGGTTTTCTGTACATGACAGGCTGCCACACACAGGAACTCACAGTAGCTGTGACTTATGCATAAGATCAAGCCAGACAAATCCCAGCATGATTCCCAACCCATAGCTTAGGAGCTATGGGCAACTGATGGCTGTTGGCAGGGACAGTGTCAGCGTGCTCTGTTGACTGACAATGCTCCAGTGCATGGCCCTGTGTGCATCCTGTCAGCATTGAGTAGACTCAGTGGGTTTAAAAAGAGTACGTGGTATTGGGAGGGAAAAGTAGGAGTGGAGGATACAGTATGAAATTCTCAAACAGTGTTTTTTTAAAGGAAAAAGGAGAGCCCTCGATCTAGTGGTATTTACCTTTCTACACCCACAACATCTTCCCTTCAGTTCCTATTTCCAGCAAGAAGAAACATTTGGAAAGTTGCACAGGATAGCCCATTTCCTTACAACACTTCTCTCCATGCTCCCCCAGCTACAACTCAGTAATGTGGACCTTACCTGCAGCAGGTAGTCTCTAGATGCTCCGAGGGAAGAAGATGGGGTTTGGAGACATAGCATTACCTCTGTGACACTTTCGAACACATTTACTAGATTATATCAATGATATGACAATGTGGTGCAATGGTATAAACTAAATGACAGCACAGTATTAAATGCTACCAGTAACTAAAATCGACATCAACATTAAATAATACAAATACTGCATGATAGAAATACTGATAGCAAATGGTACAAATACTAAATGATACAGTGATGAAACTGAGTGACAGTCACACTCATGTTGATAAACTCCTAAATGAAACAATGACGCACAGGCTAAGTGACAGAGGCTAGATGATACCACGATCAACACTCAGCATCTGTCCATATGCAAAGCATCTTGACCCCAAGCCTGAGACACTGCCGACTCATCCAGCCACACAGGGATGGCTGCTTGCAGATCTTCCCTCTTCTCGGCTCACAAGAGGCTTCCAAGGAGCAGCCTGCCAGCAAGGAAACAGGACAGAGCCTACACAGGGAAGGTCAGTCAGACCTTCTCCCATCAGCCAAGGCGGCAACACAGGGCTCTGTGGCTGTTTGACAGACAGGCTCTTACCATGTAGTTATTAAGGTTGCCAAAGAACTCGTTATGTTACCCAGGCTAACCTCAGACTCAAGATCCTCATGCCTTCACCCCTAAAGTGCTGGGATTATAGGCACTTGTCACCATGCCTGTAATGACTTGTTAGGCTTTACCAAGGCATTTGTACAATTCTTCAAGACTTATCTTCTCAGACCACCTAACACCAAAGATTTAATTGGTTTGGTTTGGTTTGGTTTTTCGAAGACTTGGTCTTACTCTGTAGCCCAGGCTGGCCTAG